CTTGGTTGAATTAGAATTTCAAAATAGTTGATTCCAGTTGTTCTTTTCAGGGCTATTGTTATTTAGGCGAAGGGACGGACCTCAAGAGCTCCCTACTTCACCATTTTGCATGATTTCACAGAGATACTGAAAATTTTGTATTTTTTTTTATTAGTTTATTGTACTTTAGATGAAAGTTTACAGAAACGTTTCTCATTAAACAGTCAGTACACATATTGTTTTATGACATTGGTAAACAACCCCACGACATGTCAACACTCTCCCTTCTCGACCTTGGAGGACCTTTTTTTTTTTTTTTGTGAAAATACACATAGCCAAAGTTACACCATTTCAAAAGTTTCTACATGTACAATTCAGTGACATCTATTACATTCTTCCAGTTGTGCTGCTATTCTCACTATCCTTTTCCAAATTATTCCATCACCATTATCTTCAACTCACTGCCCCCTAGGCTTCCCATCAAAACTTTTGAGTTGCTGTTGTCCATTTGATCTCACATAATTTTTTTCTTTTTTTGTACCTTAGATGAAGGTTTGCAGAACAAAGTATTTCTCATTAAACAGTTAGTACACATATTGCCCTATGACAATGGTTAACAACCCCATGACATGTCAACACTGCCCTTTCTCAACCTTGGGTTCCCTAGTACCAGCTTTCTTGTCCCCTCCTGCGAAAATTTTGTATTCTGTAGGGTACTCTCAGACCAGGCATTCTCTGCTTCAGGAGGCATCAATCACACTCATCGTTGCTGTTGTTGGGTGCCAGATAGTTGATTACGACTCATAGCGACCCCATGTGACAGCGCAGAACTGCTTCATAGGGTTTTCTTGGCTTGATTTTTATGGGAGCATATTGCCAGGTCTTTCTGCCATGGTGCCACTCGGTGGGTTCGAACAGCCAGCCTTTCAGTTAGCAGCCCAGCGCTTAACCGTTTGCACCCCTTACCACACACATTAGTCCCGGGTGACTAAGTGTGGGCACTGCCTGGAAGGCTTTGTTGGAGCTCCCCAGCTCCCTCAGGAGAACAAATGCTGATTAATGGGGGTGGGGGTCTCCTCAGTCCTCAGGCAGCCCCCACACAGACAGGAACAGACACACACACAGCTTGTTAGAATCAAAGTCTGTTCCACGCACTAAGGAGGCACAGGGTGCACCCGTCTGGAAGTGAAGCTCCCTGCTTGCGGCCACGGCCACACCCCACGCTGCTGCAGAGGCGGGTGGTGGTGGGGGGAGTGGCATCTGCGGAGAAGGAAAACCAGAATTTTCCTACCGTCAGAGCGCCGGCTTCTCCTCAGTTCAGTGCTCCTGTAGGCGCAACAAGCTGATATAAACCAGGCCTTTTGAGTCTTAGTGTCTTTCAAAGTTTATGGGTATTTTATTTTGTGAGAGGCCTTATTTTGCCCAAGACACTTAGCATAAATTTGGTGCTGCTTTGAAAAACAGTCCTAGAGAATGCTCAAAGTTACTACAAGGTTAGCCAAATTTATGGCTTAAATTTAAACATTTAGCAGAGGGGTGGGTGGATGTATGGATGGGTAGGTAGGTAGACAGACAGCAACCCACTCCAATGGATGGACGAATGGACAGACGGATGAACAGATGGATGGACAGATAGATTACCAACCCACTCCAGTGGATAGAGGGATGAATGGATAGACGGATGGATAGACAGATAGCAACCCACTCTGCAGAGCAAGTGGTCTTGTTCTTCTTCAGCGTTGCCAGATGAAGAAGCCACAGCCATTGGGCAGCAGAGCATGGTGGTCAGGGCCACAGCCTGTGTGAATCCAGGACGAGCCGCTTAGCAGCTGGGAGACCATGAGCGAGTTATTCAGGCACGCCTCAGTTTCCTTATCTGTAAAATGGACATAGTTGTGGTTTCCACCACCCAGGGGTGCAAAGAGGATCAGCAGAGTTGATAATAGGTAAAGCACTTGACCCAGGACCCGGCACATGGAAGCCATAGGTCACCAACAGCTGCTACTATTGGTCATTTGAGTCCTCACCCTGCCTGAGAGGTTTGCTTTGACACTTGGCCCATCCAGTCTCTGGTCCATTCCCAGTTATACCAGAAGGAACTTTGTACAATCAAATCTGACTGAATTCTTAGGAGCCCTGGGGTGATGCTCTGCTTCTGTCAGTGTAAGCTTCTGGGTCTTTCATGGTCTGTTCCCTGGAACACTGACTCTCTTATTGTGTGCTGTCAGGTTGCTTCTGACACAGCGATCCTATAAGACAAGGTAGAACTGCCCCATAGGGTTTCCAGGGCTGTAATCTTTGTGGAAGCAGACTGCCCCATTTTTCTCCTGCGGAGCGGCTGGTGGGTTCCAAACGCTGACCTTTCAGCAGCCAAGTGCTTAACCACTGCACCACCAGGGCTCCTCTAGAAGTGAGAATTCAGGGCACCGGCTCTAGGGGAAGGCTCCTGTTTGCTGTAGGGGGAAGGTCCTTGTCTCTTTCGGCTTCTGTTCCTCGGTTCCTTGGAGACTGTGATCGTTAAAGGTTGTGTGTCAACTTGGCTGGGCCATGATTCTCAGTGGTTTGGCAGTTATGATGTAGTTTGGCAGTCATATAATGAAGTAATCACTTCCATGATGAGATCTGATGTAAGTGATCACTTCCATGATGGGATCTGCTGTGAGTAGCCAATCAGTTGAAACGGGGTTTCATGTGGCCTGCACTGAATGTAACTAGACTCTGGCAAGGCTCATGGGCTTTTGCTCGCACTGGGTCCTGCAGCTGGCTCCTGTTCATCTGACTTCAGTTTTGAGGACTTAGCTAGCAGCTTACCCACCATCTTGCCTGCCAATCTTGGGATTCATCAGTCTCCACAGCCTGTGGGCCAAAGCCCTGCTGTCTGACCTGCTGATCTTGGGTTTGCCAGCCCCTGCAGCTACATGAATCAGGAGAAGCCTCCAGCCTGACCCATGTTCCAGCCATCTACAATGCGTGAGCCATTTCCTTAATGTAAATCTCTCTCTTTATTTATATATATAACAAGATGGATTGACACAGTGGATCCAACAAAGGGCTCAGGCACAGCAATGATTGTGAGGATGGTGCAGGACCGGGCAGTGTTTTGTTCTGTTGTACATAGGGTCAGCACCCAACAACAACATACGTTTCACTGGTTTTGCTTCTCTAGAGAACCCAGCCTAAATCAGAGATCTTCACATGGCATTTATCTTTTCCCCATTCCTGCTTGCTTGCTTGACTGTCTAATCTGCTCCTTTTATATCTCTAGTCATTTGGCTTAAGACACACCCTGCACTGATATGGCCTCACTAACACAACAAAGAAAACCCTATTCCCAAATGGGATTACATCCACAGATACAGGGGTTAGGATTCCCACACGTATCTTGGGGGCACTGAAGTCAATCCATAAAAACAAGTCTGGCCACTGCCTGCTTTCATGGGGTTATGTCTGGAAAAGTGGGCTGAGGATTCTGAGGCCACACCTGAGCTTGGCAGGAAACAAGGCCAAGGTCACTAGCTGGTGGCTGACAGAGCCGGGAGTTTTCCACACGTCACTACACTTACTGCTTCCCAAGAGGATGTGGGCTGTGAGTTAAGGTTGTGTCAACTTGGCTGGGCCATGATTCTCAGTGGTGTGGCAGTTATGTGATGATGTCGTTTGGCAATTATGTAATGAATGATGTAGTTTGGCAGTTATCCTCCATTGTATGATATAATTAATCATCTCCATGACGTAATCTGATGTGATCAGCCAACCAGTTGCAAGGGGATTTTCCCTAGGTTGTGGCCTACATCCAATACATACGGATGTTCTGGCAAAGCTCGCTAGCTTATGCTCAATCTGGATCCTGCATCTGGCTCATTATCATCTGACCTCTGGTTCTTGGGACTTGAGCCAGCAACCTGCCATCTTACCTGCTGATCTTGGGATTCATTGGCCTCTGCAGCCTATGAGCCAGCAGCCTGCCATCTGACTTGCCAATTCTGGCTCATCAGCCCCTTAGCTACGTGAATCAAGAGTAGCCTCCAGCCTGACACCTGACCCACGGACTTGGGACTTGCCAGCCTCTACAACCGAGTGAGCCATTTCCTTGAGATAACTCTCTCTATATATATATATACATACATACGCTTCACTGGTTTTGCTTCTCTAGAGAACCAGCCTTTGACACGGGCCGCACCCAAGAGGCATGGTGTCTGGAGTCAGGCTGCTGAGTCAGAACGCTGGTGGTGCTGGCGCTCCCGGCTGTGTGACCTGGTTAAGTTACTTCTCTGTCTCATCAGAAAGACAGAGCTCACAAGAGAACCTACCAGGTAGGGCTGCTGGGGGGTTAACTGAGTTAATATATATAAAGAGTTTAGACCTGTGCTGCCAGATAACAGTAGCCACTAACCACATATAGCTCTTAAAATTAATTAAATATTCAGGTCCTCAGTCAAACCGGCCACATTTCAGGGGCTCAATAGCCATGTGTGGCTGGTGGCTCTCATACTGCACAGATCAAGAACATTTCCATCATTCCAGAAAGTTCCACAGGATGGCGCTGGGTTAGACAGTTCCAGGCACACTTCTTGTTGTTGGCAGCCATCAGGCTGGCTCTGACTCATGATGACCTGTACCATCTTCATGATCATTGGTATGTCTGAGCCCATTGTTGCGGCTACTGTGTCAACCCATCTCATGGAGGGTAAGTTTCCCTCATTTTAGTTGGCCCTCTATTTTACCAACCATGCTGTTCTTTTCTAGTGACTGACCAAGTTCCACTGGACAGCGGTGGTTCAGACAGTTCCGGGCATACTGCTACACACTATAAAAATGTGAGCTATTAGGCTACCCCTGCCCAAGCCCAGCACTGACCTTGACACAGAGATGTTCAATAATTATTTATTGAAAAAATGACCAAGTGAATCCCAGACCCCAGCTTAAACCATCACCCCTCCCCCCTCCACACATATACACACACAAACACACACACACACACCCCAAATCTCAAAAACCATGTGACCACGTGGACTGCAACACCAATTTGTTTAAAAATAGAGGCAATACCCCTGGTTCCCTCCCCTGTCACCCTCTGCCCAGGCCCTGGGACAGCAGAGGTTTAGTAGAAATCCTCCAGGTCAGATTCTGAGCTTGCACCTTTCTGGTTCTGGATCTGACTTTGCGCCTGGTACAGCTGTGCCACCTGAGGAGAGAGGGGGCAGGTGGGCGAGTCGCAGCTCAGTGGCTGCCCCCCACCACCTCCACATCATTCTAGAGTCCACCTCTGAGGAACTGGAACTGGTTTGGCTGAGCAAGCCCACCCCAGGCCACCCACCCCTCTTCCCAGATCTCACCTGGGCACTGGTGGTGGCTTCCTCCGGCTTCTTGTCCTCACGAACGCGAATAAACCGAGGGAAGCGAAGGGAAATGCCCTTCTCACGGTCCACCTTGGGAAGGGGGGAAGGCAGGGATAATGGAAACTGTCCTGTGGTCCAGCCAGCAGTTGGCTTGCTGCTGTGACTCCCTGTTATTCAAAGTCTCCTCCTTCCTCCTTTACCCCTGGCCTCAGTTTCCTCATCCATATAATGGGGATGAGCAATGGGTTGTTGTAAGGATATAAGGTGCTTAGAACTGTGCCTGCTGCATAATAAGCACTCGTCACTATTATTATTATTAGGGCCGAGAAGCAGAACAGCAGGTTCATGGGCAAGAACTCTAGAACCAGACTGAGGCTGTTGCCGTTAGGTGCTGTCCACTTGGCCTTGATTCAGGACAACCCAGTGCACAACCAACCAGACGCTGCCCAGTCCTGTGCCATCCACGTGATCGGTTGTGATTCACAAGGTTTTCACTGGCTGATTTTTGGAAGGAGATTGCCAGGCCTTTCTTCCTAGTCTGTCTTAGTCTGGAAGCTCTGCTGAAACCTGTTCATCATTGTAGCAACACACAAGCCTGCTTGGACAGATGGGTGGTAGCTATGCATGAGGTACACTGGCTGGGAATCGAACCTGGGTCTCCTGCATGGAAGGCAAGAATTCTATCATTGAGCCACCAGTGCCTGGCATAGAGTCAGACTGGGGGGGTTCAAATCCTAGCTCCCAACTCTCAGGAGACGTGAGACCCTGGGCCAGTTACCTAAGCCCTCTAGGGCTCGTTTCCTTATCTGTAAAACAAGGCTCTTCATGTTCCCATGTCTCAGCATTTTCGTGAGGATTACGAGGATAAGTATATACAAGTAAGGTGCTTATTATTAGCAGAGCAGCTGATTCATAGTAAGTGCTGAATAACTGCCAGCTCTGATCACTCTGCAAAAAAGGGACCCTGGTTTTCTTCCATGGAACATGAGTGAGGAAAGCAAGCACATATGGTCAAGATCAAAAATACAAGTTTCAGGAATAGGTCAACGATAAACAAAATGTGGCAAATCCATACAATGGAGTATTATTCAAAAAAGAAATGAGGTTCTGATACGTACAGATGGACACTGAAAACATTATGCTGAGTGAAATAAGCCAGTCATAAAAGGACAAATATTGTATGATCCCAACCGCTGTCAGTGGAGGCTTGTGTGTTGCTACAATGCTGAACAGGTTTCAGCAGAGCTTCCAGACTAAGACAGACTAGGAAGAAAGGCCTGGCAACCTCCTTTCAAAAATTAGCTGATAAAAACCCTTAGAAGAGACAAACGCATAGAGACCTAGGTTTAATAGTGGTTAGCAGGAGCAGGAGGGAGGGAGAAAGGGGACATCGTTATTTAGAAAGCATTAAAACCAAACCAAATCCATTGCTGTCGAGTTGACTCCAACTCATAATAACCCTACAGGACACAGTAGAACTGCCCCATAGGGTTTCTATAGGGTCTTTACAGAAGCAGGCTGCCCCATCTTTCTCCTGCAGAGTGGCCGGTAGGTTCGAACTGCCAGTCTTTTGGTTAGCAGCCATCTGCTTAACCACTAAGCCAACAGGGCTCCTTTTAGAAAGCACTGAATACCTGTTTACAGTGATGGGAAATCTGGCAGCAGACACTGGTGATGGTTGCATAACATGACTGATGTCATCGGTGTCACTGAACTATACGTGTAAAAAAATGCTGAATTGCAGAATGTTCTGTTATATACATTTTTATCACAATAAAAAATATATATGAGTTTCCCCTCTAAAAATAGAAGTCCATGTCTAATCAGAAAAATATGTGCTAGCTAGGTTTTGAAAGAAAAGAAGCACCTCAGAGCGAGAACTTTTTGAGAGCTGTTGTTCTTCTGAAGGAGAAAGATAAGTGCTTCCCCAGAGCTGGCTGAAGAGGCTAGTGCTCAGTCGCTATTGAGGACTGAACCACTGTGGAGAGAAATGAGCCAAACTGACTTAAAAAACTGTTGGTGTCAGAATTAATTATGGCTGAAAAAGAAATGGCGGCTGGGGATGTAAGAGGCTCAGCAGAAAGTGTGCGAAGCTGTTACTGACAAGAACGGTGCTTTCAAAATTTACTTAAAAGCAGAATGTGAGATTATGATGTTGAAGGGAGCAATTTCTCGGTTTTCTATTACCAGAGAATTCCTTTTTTGAAAGAAAGAGTTTTTTGACTCCATTACCTGACACCCAAATAAATGTTGGGTGGTGAATGTTGTATTATACAGTAAAACCTGCCAAAGCCGGGACCCATGTAAGGCGGAAACCTGTCAAGAGAAGGAAAACTAAACTATTTTCTACTAATAGAGATAAACAGAAAAGGGGTAAGACTGTACACTGTCAAAGGTAGAAAACCTTCAAGACCCAGAAAAACAAGGCAGTCCCGTCGAGCTCCAACTCTCACAGGTTTCACTGTATATATTTTTAACTACAGTAAAAAAATTTTTTTTTTTTAAAAAAAATACTAGTTTCTCCTTTAAAAATGGAAGTCTGCTTCTAATCTGGAAAGTCTGTGCTATAGGCTTTGAAGGATGAGAAGAATCCCAGAGCGAGTGAGTGCCTTTTTAATTTGAGAGTTGCTGTTCTTCTGAGAGGAGCCCTGGTAGTGCAGTGGTTAAAGTGCTCGGCTGTGAACTGAAAGGTCTGAACCCGCCAGCTGCTCCACGCGAGAAAGATGTGGCAGTCTGCTTCCATAAAGATTACAGTGTTGGAAACCCTATGGGGTAGTTCTACGCTGTCCTACACAGCTGCTGCGAGTCGGAATTGACTCCATTGCAGTGAGTTTGGTTTGGGGGGTGTTCTTACGAAGAAGAAAGGTCAGAGCTATCCAGGTGCTGGTTTCACGTTGTTCACTGTGACCCTGAACAGCAGATGTGTGCTCCCAGGTCCCCTCCCGACTCTGCCCCTCACCGTCCCACCTGGGAATTCTATAGAGGGTCCCCCCAGGCCCCTTCTACAGCCCCAGGACTCACCAGGCCGCGGGCCGCGGGGTAGATGGGGGAGAGGGACAGGTCGGCACACTTCACCTCCCACACGGTGCTGGGCTCCAGCCAGTGGTCGGGGGCCACGGCCCCGTCGGCCCGCACGTAGGAGCGTGGGCTGGGCAGCACCAGGGGCTGTGGAGAGAAAGGGAAAGGGGGACAAGATGGTGTGGGGTCTCAAAGTCAAGGCCAAGGGCTGACGGCTCGGGAGTGGGGAAAGAGGAGGAAATGAGGGGTGGATAGACGAGACAGATAGTCTGTAAAGGAAAAAGCTAGATGGGAGTGAGGGAGAATGGAAGAGCAGAAAGGAAAGACAGAGACTCTGGGAGCTGAGAGAGCAAATTAAAGACAGAGAGAGAGAGGGCAACAGAGATTCGGGGAGCAGGGGGACACAGAGACCCAGAGAGAGGAGGACAGAGACCCAGAGACACGGGATAGACAGAGACTTCCAGTAAAGGTGCCTGTGACTGTGGCAGCATCACCCTCATTTATTAAGGGCTTTCCCAGTGCCCTGTGAGGATGAACTCAGGAAACCACAGACGGCACCCTGGGGCAGGTTCCGGGATTTCCTCCCCCAAAAAGGCACTCAGCTGGGAAGATAAGGCTCCCTGTCCACTGCCAATGCTGGGACTTGAACCCAGATCTCCTGGACTCCAAAGCCAGCTCTACTGCTCACTGTCCACCTGCCCACACCCCACCCCACACCTGAGCCAGAGGGGTGGAGACGGAGAGCTGCACCAGAAGGAGCCGTGTGGTGGGTGGCGGCGTGGCTTACCTGGAGGCTCTGGTGATGTTTCTCCAGCTCCTCATCACTGAAGCCCGTTCCGAGCTGCAGGGGGATGTGGTGGGTCAGGGCTTGGCCGCCCGCCATATCTTCCCTGCTCCTGCCATCTAGGGTGTACCTGACAGCCCCCATCCACTCAGCCTTTCCGGTCCCACTGGTATCCACAGAAACCACAGAGGAGGGGCCAGCAGGGTGCTGGGCAGCCAGGCCACCCCTCACTGGACAGCTGAAGACCCCGATGGGGAAACAACTCTGCCCTGCATGGGAACTTTACTTTGGCCGGCACTGTCCCATTACCTCACCACTGCCTTTTGCTTTACAGAGAAACCCTTGTTTCTTCTACTCCAGCCCCCTGGCTCGGGAGGTCACCCCCTTGGTCTCACCCACACCCCACCTGCCCCCCATAACTGGGTGTCGTCATCTCCAATCACAATATTGCCAAGGGTTGTCTTTTGCCTACCAAAACAGTAAAGGCTAAAAAATAATTCCAATAATACTCAATGTTGGCAAACAAGTGGCAAGATGGGCATCTTCAAACTGTTGTTGTTAGTTGCCACTGAGTTGATTCTGATTCATGGTGACCCCATGTGTGCAGAGTACAGCTGTCCCATAGGGTTTTCAACGCTGTGACCTTGCAGTAGCAGATTGCCAGGTCTGTCTTCCAAGGTGCCTCTGGGTGGATTTGAACGGCCAACCTTTGGCTAGTGGTTGGGCGCTTAACTGTCTGCGCCACCCAGCTGCCTATCTTCAAACTACTGATACAAAATTTCAGCTGGGAAGTTGTTTGCATTGAGAACCTTAAAAATCCTCTCTCCTTCTGTCCTGGTAATAGCTCTTTTAAAAATCTATTTGAAATAAACAATGTAAAATAACGACAGACTTATGCCCAAAGGTATTTATAAACTGTAAAATCGCTTCTATCAGTGATTAGAGTTGGGTTAATGTATTGTTATGTAATGTAACATACTGCTAATGTGAAGGCATTATTCGTAAGAACAAAAGTCGCCAACAACCTAAACATCCAGTTATAGGAAATGAGGGCACATCTATTTGAAAATTCTTGTGCAGGCATTAAAAATCATGTTTACAGAAGTGCTGAATGACAGTGAAAACACTTTGATATTTATTATTACTATATTGCTTGCTAAATTGCACATGGCAGCATTTAAAGTCAAGTACTTACAGGACAAAAAGGCAGAAAAAAAAAATACAAACAGAAGGATCACAACTTTAAGTAAAAGTTGTTTACTGGCTGAGGCTGACTCAGGTGGCTCACAACCCTTTGCCGTTGGGCCTTTCTCTTTCCAGCTAGGAGGGCTGGAACTCCTGCAGCCACCATGTGACAACGAGGCCACAAGCACACGATCAAAATGACTGTGGGGAAAGAGAAAAGGAACCGGGGTCTCTATTGACATCAGAGAGCTCCCTGCCTCTCTTCAAGACTTCTCATTAGATGAGAGAAAAAATCCTTCTCTTCCTTAAGCCACTATTATTTGCAGCCAAACTCAATTCCTAACTGACATAGCTTCCTTACACCTTCCTATTTTAACTCACTTTTCTATATGAAGTAAGAGTTACTTATAGAAGCAGAAAGAGTACATAAAAGCTAGGAAAAAAATATCCTTCACTGGGAGAACATGAAACCCTCTTGGCCCAAGCCCTCGGCAGTTGCCCACAAGAAAGTCCCCCAGGAGTCTACTCTCCTTCCCTCCTGCTTCTGCGGCCAGCCCCCCACCCCCTCCCCCTGTACCTTGCATATGGCTTGCAGCTCCTCACTCTCCTTGTCGTAGGAGGCCAGGAGGAAGCCCCCATAGCGGCCAGCACGCTTCCCGCGGCCCAGGTAGGCGCCGATGACCACGAGGTCCAGGGTGTCGCCCACTCCCTCGAGGTAGTCCTTCTTCAGCTGGGAGAGGGATGGAGAGAGGTGAGGGAGAACTGTCTGTGGTGGGGGCCTCACTACTGGAGGTTAATCAGTGTGTTGAGGAGGGCCTAGGGTGAGACTGAGGAGAACTTCCAGAAAGAAGGCCTGGGATGGCTACTGAGAAGGGACCGGAACATGGAAAGGGGTTCTAGGCTTCGAGAGGAGCAAATGGGAAAGAGGCCACGGGAGACAGGAGCAGCAGGCTGGACTGAGGCCAGATGGGGAGAAGTGGGGATCATCCTCGGTCTCCTTTCCCTCCACACAGAGACACACACACCCCTTCATCCACTCACTCCTTCACACAGAGAACATTTGTCCATCCATTCAGGGTACATTTATTAGGCGCCGACTGTGTGCCTCGGGACAGATATG